TAAGTGACTCAGTAAACTTCAGATCCTTCTTCTAACCCTCCCTCTATCAGTCTATAAACCGTAGTATAGCACTGTCATTTTCATTTCTTTTCTTCTTTCTGCATATTTTTTGTATTTCCTCAAAATATATATCCACAATTTTCCATCATTTTCCCTCAGCCTTTTCCATCAAATCAATTTCAATCATTCTCAAAATTCTATTTCAAATCTTGTTATATTTTTTATTCATGATTTACATTTGCGATTGTTTGTATCACAATGTAATGATCTTTGGTGACTTAAGATGCCCCAAAGGTAAACATCAGATCCTTTTTCCAATTCACTCTGTCAGTCCAGAAACGATAGAATAGCAGTGTCATTTTCATCCTTCTCATTTCTTCTTCCTGCATCTTTCATTTCTACAGAAAATAAACCCAAAATTTTCCTTCATTTATCCTCAGCCTCTTCCAACAAATTATAAAATCCTGTTCTATTTCTGACTCATGACTTACATGTAGGATTGGTTAGTATCAGAATAAAATGCTGTTTGGTGGCCTACAGAGCCCAAATGCAACAGACCTAACAATAAATCTAGTGAAACTTATTTCAAATAAAAAATTTCAGCTCCATTTCACTTATAATTCTAGCAACATTTGTTTTTCTTGGGTCATAAACCATTGAGATACAGGAATAAGAATATGCCTAAAGAAAATTCTACTAAAACTTCTATTCAGCAATGAATTTTAGATTTTCATTCTTGTTAACCAATTGTGACTACAGCATAAATATTTGCATTTTTCAATTAGGGTTCTTTATATTTATTAACATGAGATGCATTGTTCATCCCAAAAGTTGGAATGCTACACATCCTCCACCTGGGATGTACTGCATATGGTTCATTGGTTGAGTTTAGTTAGTTCAATAGTGAAGTTTTCTCTATAAGCTAAAATTAGCTTATGTATAATTTATTTGTGGAAGTTTTCTCATATTAGCTTCTCCAGAAGTTAATTTTTAATAAACCAACATTTACTTATAAAGAAGTCTATTTTATTTTTCTTTCTTAGTCCTATAAGTTTTTATAGAAAGATTTACCTGAATAGTTCCTACGTATTTGATAGCCAGCATTTTCTTTAACTACTAGACATCAATCATGCAAAAATCTAGCAAAAAACTCTTAACTAAAAGTGTAAAAGTTGCATGGAGCACACAAAACCCTACGTACAAAACAGCATAAGGCCCAAAAGACCAGAAGAGAACTTTGCAAACAAAATATTAACCTCAGAGTTGAAGCCAAAATCCTTCTCTCCAGCAAATATATTGTCTAGAACCAAGGGAAATTCAATGCCAGTTTTAGGCTCAACTGCAGGATTTGATTGGTTCAACTCAAGATACGACAGGAACGGACACCCTTGGCATTCAACCTCCTTGGGCACTTGGTCAATGGTTCCATATATTTGCATATCAGGACTCTGCAATGGGCTAGCTAGAACATTCGATGACCTATATGCAAAAAAAAATAAATAAGAAGAAGAACAACAAACTTACATTTCACAAACCGAAGAAAGAAAATGACAAGCAAAGCTAACCTATGCTTGAATTGAAGAATAGAATAAATTACAAATCATCTTAGATATCATTTTTAAATTATTACTATAAAATCCAAAAACTTAACTCATCATCAGATCCTGAAATTGAGTTGCAATGTAATTAGCAGTGCATTTTAATCAAATTCTAACCATATTTCATCTAACATATCCCAGAAAATCAATAAAATTAACATCTCAGTTTTCATAATGTTCCATACAAGTTTTGAAAAGGTGGAACCAACGCTGCAGCCAGCGACAGAATAGGTAACGACCGAAGCCTCTTCGCTTCACTCCAAATCATCTTCATCGCCAAACTCGATATCTTCCCCAACTTTACAGACGCAAACGATTTCCTCTTCGATCGAAACGGAAACCCGAACAGACTCACATTCGTCGCCACGGCCTTAACCTGCGCACTACCAAACCGAGGAGGAGGAGGAGGTGGAGGAGAACCGCGCAGGGAACACGCCACATTGAAACTCGACGTGCGTGAGAGCCACACCAGAAACGCGCCGGCGAACCGCGACACGTGTCCCAAGGCTTCTCCGATCGCGAAACTTCCGGGATTGTTGGCCAGCGAATACATGCAGCGCGAGCTCAGAGAATTGCGGAGCATGAATGGCTCCAAATAGGTGAACACTTCGGGATCCGAGTACAGCGACGGCAGCCAAACGAAATCGTTATTCATCGCGACGCACAACGGCGATCAGTTCAAGAACCTGCGAAGCGAGTTCTCGTGGCGGCGTTTGAGAGGGGAATGAGAAAACGGAAAGGGAGAGAGACAAAAGGATTCTGTTTGGTTGGGATCGGAGAATAATTGAATGCGAAGTTGGGCTTTTCGCGAGTGGCGACGTGAATTTTGGCGTTGTTGTTTGTCTGAAGGAAGGAAATGAGAGAGAGAAAGGAAAAGGAAAATGGAATTAAATAAGAGAAGGGAATATGCTTTGGACAGGGAAAGGGGAGAGAAGAGAAGTCAAGGAGGATTCAACCCAAAAGCGATCTTTAGAGGGTAAAAATGGAAAAGGTGGAAATTGTGGAGTAACTTTTTGTGCTTTCGAAAGGTGTGAATAGATAGCAAAAATATTTCTTTTTACACATAAAATATGCTAGGGATAGATTGTAAAAATGGATATTTATTAGTTATGTATAATAGGTATTTTAATACGTTTTTATAAATGGGTGGGATATAATATCATATTACTTGTATTTATGGATATTTATTAGTAAAAAATTAAAATTAATTTATATTTTTTAAAGTTAAATTTAATTAAAATTAAAATTAATTTATATTTTATTTTATAATTTCATTTAAATTTTATTTTAAAAATTTATAAAATATATTTTTTAAATATATATATTCACGAATTTTAAAATATCAATAAATATTCAATAAATAAAAAATAACAGATAAATAATTTTATCACGAGTGAGTAAATATTATTTGTATCCTAGCATGAAAAATTATCAGTAGACTACTATTGTAGCATAAGATGATCTTTGAAAACGAGAGAATGACGTTTATGACCTTTAGAATCTCTTTCTATAAGTCATGACCTGGGCAATTAATGGCATCGATTGAGATGGGGTTCTTGCTTCTGGATACTCTTTAGTAATACTCAATTTATTGCAATTATTTTTTATTAAAATTTTTTATTTATATTCAATTTAGACTGTGTTTTTTTTTTTTAGAGACTGGATCATTTCAGGAAGAGGAAATAGATTATTGGAATATGAATAAAGAATAAATCGGTGTTATTTGTTTTAAGAAATATAGAGAAAAAAGAAGAAATATTTAATAGAGTTTATAAATGATGTGACAAATAAAAGTAAATTTAATACATGATAAAATTATATAATATATTAAATAAAATATAAGTAAAATTTAATATAATAAATGATAAAATAAATTTAATAAAAAATAAAATAAAATTAATTTAATATATAACTTGGATGACATTTTATAGAAAACAAATTAATAAGTACAATTAATTTAAAATAAAATGTGATTGATTAAAAATAATTTTAATTAAATATTAAATTATAAAAAAATAATAATATTATTAACTAATTACTTTTGTCATTATAATTTTGTTAGTATTTTATTTGTATGTTATATTGTTTTTCTGTTTAATATTATTTTTATTATTATGATTATTAGTTATCTTTTTATATATATATATATATATATATATATATATAAACCATCATTAATTTCAGTTAAAAGTCATTCTTCATCCTTTTCAAATATTATATATCATTTACCTAAAAAAAGAACAAACATGTCATTCTCCCACATCTTTTCATAAATAATAAATCCATTAAAAAGAATACAGCCTAATTAAAAATAAGACAAAACCATTCAAATAGTGTTATAATTATTAATTAATTAATAATAGCATAAAGTCGTGTGTTATCTATCTGGATGTTTGGTATTTTTTTATTTAATTAATAATAACGTTATCTAATAGTTTGTATCGAAACATTATTTACGTGTTTAACGTGTTTAGCGTGTCATTATTTATTAACTTTAGAACTTTTTTTTTTGTTGAAAAATTAGGATCTCTTGACAATTTTTTTTCATAAAATCATTACTTATTTCTTAATATTATCACGTTTATATTATTTTTTTGATGCTATTTAGATCAACCAATTAATTTAAATGGTTGAACTTGGAAACACAGTTCTTCAAGTATTAAAGATATACTCATCACATATGCAATATTTTATATTAATATCAATATTTACACTTTATTAACAAATTTTGTATTTCTCCTGTGTATTTGACTTTTGTATTTAATTATGTAGGGACAAGTAGAAATGATAGCGCAAAAAAAACACCAGGAATACAAAAAGAAAAATACCACGTCAGAATAAAACTAAAATTAGCCCTTGATTTTGTGATACACAATTAATTCTAAAGAGTAAAAGAATACAAAACAAAAATAAAATAAAATCCAAACTATTATATAAGTTTATAATATGGTAAAAAATATTTTCAATAAAAGCATTGAAAGAAGTTAAGAATTATTTTCAATAACAACACAAATTTCACTGATTGTTTAAAGGATGTGAATAATATAAAAAGAGTTATATAATTAGTAAAAATGAAATTATTAAAAAGAATCTTACTTAGCCATTGACCAAATTTATGTTTGTACAATGAAAGATGTGTGCAGCAGGGAAACAGAACACAAGTCATGTAAGCAACAGCAAAACAAAACGCGTACACGTGAATCACGTGTTAAAACATTTCTCTAACATGGTAGAAAAGAACATCAAGGCCGACCAATGGTGGAAACAAGAATTCAAAAGCAAATGAACATAGGTTTGAATTCAGAACTCCACAAATCAGAAACATCTCCTAATTATTTACACGTGTGCATGGAACATGCATGCACAGCAACACAACACAAGTAGGAGGCAAAGTATGATCCCTGACAGAAATATGAAATATATCTTTCAATATGTAAAAACATGATCACAAATCATGGTATCATCAAATCTTGAAACTTGAGTAACAAATTTTGCCCTTTGAAGAAGGATGTGGAGATCAACTACAAGGCCCTTTTTCTCCACTCACTCATTCATTCATTCAACAAGATTAACTTGAAAATACAAATCAACAAATCGATTTTAATATTTAGTATACCTGACCCCTAGTATACCCAAAATCTGATCAACTCTTCAATGTTAAAATATTGTGTTTGTTATCCCTTTTGGTGACATATATGGTTCACTGTTCATAACAAGCCAGCCTCAAAGAGATTTCTCCGCCTCAAAGTCTCATCAACAAGCTTGAAAGTCTTCTTCACAAGCTTCTGATCAAGAGCAGTGGTCCGGTATATCTTGAACACACGATCTACACGATCAGGAGCAGTGTTCTGGAAATATGATTCCTCAAATTTTTTCTTTACAAACCTGAAAACAAAGTGTATCCAAAGTCAACTAGTTGTTTCGGTCATGAAAAAGTAATCATCAAGTGCTTGGAATTTCCTATTTCCCCTTTCATATTATGGTTCTGATGGAAACACAGCACGACCAAGATTGTTTTGGCTCATCATGCAGTACAAAGCAGTTACACAACAAAGTAAGAATGCTGAACTTGAATGCCAGAGATAAACTATTTTGGCATGTTTCTTTCAGCAACTTGCATTATTCTGTATGCCTTAGTATAAAGAAGCTGCTTACTCGTATGCATGCTCGATCTCTTGTTTCCCTGTTGAGACAGATTGGTAATCTTTGAACCATTCACATACACTAAGAGGGACCTGCACAATGCAAAACGTTAGAGATTGCAATGGTGATAACCTCTCCAGCAAGAATGTGCAATATATTCAGATGGTTCTTACTTTCAAGATCTTCTTCTCAAATATGTCAAACTTGTTTAAAAATAACATGAAGGATGTTTTCTGCGTACAAAAGAGAAGGAAATCTTTATTTGCTAAGATAGGTAGAAATGTCAACTCATGAAATGTAAAATATAAAGGAACCAGAAAAAGAAAAGGTTGACATAAGAAATTTCTTAGTAATTGTAGTAGAAAGTTAAAGGTAAAAAAAAGGAAACCTCAAAACATGGTTGCTTCAGGACCCACTCAAAAAGTTCCTTAGTCTCCATCATTCTGTTTCTGTTTTCATCCTCAAAAAGTGTTTGATCATACCTGAAGGCAAGTTTGATGTCAATACCTTTAAAGTTTATAATTCCTCTTGCCAAGAAATATTGGAAGAATGCAAGAACTTTTGTTAGTCCTAGCACCAACTATTTTATGAACGGCATGTTTTTATTAGTGTTAGAATATTTACCCTATTTATCATGATTATATTATGTCTAGGGTTACCCTATTTATCATGATTATATTGTGTCTAGGGTTACTCTATTTATCATGATTATAGTGTCTAGGTTACCCTATTTATCATGATTATATTCTGTCTAGGTTATCCTATTTATCATGATTATATTGTGTCTAAGTTACCCTAATTATCATGTACTCTTGTATCAATTTATTTTTATAAATAGAAGATTATGAGAGGGATCAATTAAGCCCTCTAAAATTATTTACAGTTTAATTCTCAAGTTGGTATCAGAGCAGGTTATCTGAGTCTCTTCCTACTCTGTGTTTGTTGCTGTCGGTGGCGGGCGGTCTTAAAAATTTCATCTTTTCTGAAATACTTCAATGAGTAGTCCCGTTCTGATTTTTGTCTAGTCTCCAAACCTTAGTTGTTGTCCGCAACTGTCAAGCACCGTTTGCCACTGTCCAGGCGCCGTTTGCTGCTGTCCAGGCGCCGTTTGCAGCTGTTCGACGTCGTTTGTCGTTGTCTGGTGCCATTTGCCGCTGTCCATCTAGCACTGTTTTGCCACAGTGAGGAGCTGTCCACAGAAGTTTGTCACCATCAACTTTTGTTCCCGACGCTGTTTGTCATCGTCCGCCGTTGTCCGCTGCCGACCACCGTCTATTGTCGTCCGTTGCCATCTGCTGCCACAGTTTAGTCCGACGACTAGTGATATGGATCGCCTCCTTGAGCGAGAGGGCTAGTTCTCATCTAGGCGCCGCCATGCGCGCCACATTTGTCCGACGTTCGCCTCTGCCATGGTCACATTTTCTCTGGCAAAGTTAGGGGTTTTGTGTGCCTCGAGGAGCGCGACTCATCCCTAGTCGTTGCCTCATTCTCATCTTGTCACGCACGACTTCTCTTCGATAAGCATTCGGCGCTTGTCACGCCACCTTTCCGGTGTCGGAATCACACTGTGTCATTGTAGTTCGTTTCGCTCGACCAAATAAAAAAAAAAACTCTATTTCAGCATTATACCTCTGTTTCAGCATTTGCGTATTGTAGCAGTTGTGATGTTTCTGATGGCTTGTGTCATTTATTTATAAGTCTCCAAGGAGAGTCAGTGTTATTAGCTTGTTAACACAAGGAATTTCAAAACCAAAGTCATAGGTTGAAGGTTCCTCATGGCATGAGGGAGAGTCTATTTCTGGCAAGATTAAGAATCTTAGTCAAACAATTTCACCAGTCCCTTGTGAGATCTATTTTTGGATCCGAATAAAGAGACCATAATGATCTTCCACCTTCACGATTTGTCTTGGCGCGTCGTCATTTCCGTCGTTTGCCGTGAGGGAGAGTATGTTTCCAGCCACTGCAATATATTTCCAACCATTGCAATATGTTTCCAGCCACTGCATGCCCCATCAGTCAGTGATGGCAGCCCGATCAGTCAGTGATGGCAGTCCCTGCAGTTTTTTCCTTTCAGCCACTGCAGGCCCCCATCACCTCATCAGTCAGTGATGGCAGTCCCTGTAGTTTGTCGCTTTCAACCATTGCAGGCCCCTATTAGTCAATGATGTCAGTTTAGTCCCTGTAGTATGTTTCAGCTACTGCAAACCCCATCAATCAGTGATGGTAGTTTAGCCCCTGCAGTTTGGTCGCTTTCAACCACTACAGACCCCATCAGTCACTGATGGCAATTTTTTCTCTGTAGTTTGTTGCTTTTAGCCACTACAGGCCCCATCCTTACTTGATAGCAGTTTAGTCCCTGCAGTTTGGTCGCTTTCAACCACTACAGGTTTGACTGTGGTATCTAATAAGCTTTTCTACTTACTTTTTTCTTCTGACTGTTTCTTTTTTCTTTTTATTGTTTTCGGATATTGGGACGCATCAATTTCAACTTGTTATGAAATAACATTGATAGCCTCTACTCGTGTTCTAGCTCGTCTAAGAGCTAGATTTGCTTCAATTGTTTGTCTCTTGCCTTCAGCCTTATTCAAATTAGTTTCTGCTATTTCAAGAGTTTGCTGTGCTTCTTGTGGATCAATGTCACTACCCTTTTCCGCATCATTTACTAAAACAGTTATCTCATTATTATTTATTCTAGCAAACCCCCCCATCAGAGCCATTGTTAACCATTGGTCTTTAAGACGTATTCTCAAAATACCTATATCGACAGCTGAGGCAATAGGCGCATGATTAGGTAATACTCCAATTTGTCCGCTATTAGTAGGTAAAATGATTTCCTTCACTTCTGAATCCCAAACAATTCGATTGGGGGTCAATACACAAAGATTTAAAGTCATTTCTTCAAATTGCTCTCCGTTTCTAAGTTCGTAGCCTTCGCAGTAGCTTCATCGATATTACCTACCAAATAAAAGGCTTGTTCGGGAAGACCGTCTAATTCTCCAGAAAGAATCAAATTAAACCCTCTAATTGTTTCTACTAGACCAACATATTTTCCAGCCGAACCGGTAAAAACTTCTGCTACGAAAAAAGGTTGTGATAAGAAACGCTCAATTTTTCGTGCTCTCGCTACGGTTAAGCGATCTTCTTCGGATAATTCGTCCAAGCCAAGGATAGCTATAATGTCTTGAAGTTCTTTGTAACGTTGTAAAGTTTGTTTAACTCGTTGCGCAGTCTCATAATGTTCTTCACCAACGATTCGAGGTTGGAGCATAGTTGAGGTTGAATCTAAAGGATCTACTGCTGGATAGATACCTTTGGCGGCTAATCCTCTTGATAGTACAGTAGTAGCATCTAAATGTGCAAATGTCGTAGCAGGGGCAGGGTCAGTTAAATCGTCTGCAGGTACATAAACTGCTTGAATAGAAGTTATGGACCCTTCTTTGGTAGAAGTGATTCTTTCTTGTAAAGAACCCATTTCAGTACTAAGAGTGGGTTGATAACCCACAGCAGAGGGCATTCGACCCAATAAGGCAGATACTTCAGATCCTGCTTGAACGAAGCGGAAGATATTGTCGATAAATAGAAGTACATCTTGCTCATTGACATCTCGAAAATATTCCGCCATAGTTAGGGCAGTTAAACCAACTCTCATACGAGCTCCGGGTGGTTCATTCATTTGACCATATACTAGAGCTACTTTAGATTCTGCAATATTTTGTTCATTAATTACTCCAGATTCTTTCATTTCCATATAAAGATCATTTCCCTCGCGAGTACGCTCACCTNATTTCCCTCGCGAGTACGCTCACCTACTCCGCCAAATACAGATACACCTCCGTGAGCTTTGGCAATGTTATTGATCAATTCCATAATAAGTACTGTTTTACCCACTCCAGCTCCACCGAAAAGTCCTATTTTTCCTCCACGACGATAAGGAGCTAAAAGATCTACTACTTTTATTCCTGTTTCAAAAATAGATAATTTTGTATCTAATTGTATAAAGGTAGGCGCAGATCTATGAATGGGAGATGTTGTACGAGTATCTACAGGACCTAAATTATCAATCGGCTCTCCAAGCACGTTGAAAATTCGTCCTAGAGTTGCTCCGCCTACTGGAACACTTAGGGGAGTTCCTGTGTCAATAACTTCCATTCCTCTCTTTAGACCATCTGTAGCACTCATAGCTACAGCTCTAACTCGATTATTTCCTAATAATTGCTGTACTTCACAAGTCACATTAATTTGTTGACCAACAGTATCTCGACCCGTAACTACCAGAGCATTGTAAATATTAGGCATCTGCCCCGGGGGAAAGGCTACATCTAGTACCGGACCGATTATTTGGTCAATATGTCCCAGATTTTTTTTTTCAATCGAAGAAATTTCAGGACCGGAAGTAGTAGGATTTATTCGCATATCAAAAGCCAATTTTTTTTCCGAAAAAGTTTTTAAATCAAAAAGAAATGTTCGATAAGAAAGCAAGTTGATCGGTTAATTCAAAAATAAATAAGAAATGGAAGTTAGTACTCCATTTTTTTGGTACTATTCAATCAATCCTCTTTAATTGTTTACTTACTTATTCAAATTCAATTATTGAATTCTTAAGCTTACTGCAGTTATTTTGAAAATTTCAATTGGATAAAATCTTTCGAAAGTCTTTTCTTTTTTTCTATCATTCTAGATAATATCATCTATATTCTGTATGGAATTCGAACCTGTACCTTAATTTAGAATTCATTTTTTTTATCATTGGCTTTCGTATTTCCTCAGTAGACAATTTTTTAGACTTACCCTCTTTTTCCCTATTTTTTTTACCTCTTTGTTTCTTTTCCGGGGAGAAAGCTGCCTATTTTTACATCTAGGATTTACATAGACAACATATATCACTGTCAAGATTCAGAATAAATTCTTATTATTATTTAGATTAGATCTTTCGATTTGAAAATTCAAAAATAAGAGATTTAAAATTGAAAAAAAAAGATTGGGTTGCGCCATACATAGAAAAGAGTATACAATAATGATGTATTTGACAAATCAAATACCATCGTTTAATTTAATAATAACATAACGAACCTTTGGGATTAATTGATAATATTAGTTGGTTTTTGTAAAAGATTTCATTAACTCCTAAGTCATATCGAGTAGACCTTATTGTTTCAAGAATTCTTAATTCATGAGTTGTAGGGAGGGATTTATGTCACCACAAACAGAGACTAAAGCAAGTGTTGGGTTCAAAGCTGGTGTTAAAGATTATAAATTGACTTATTATACTCCTGACTATGAAACCAAAGATACTGATATCTTGGCAGCATTCCGAGTAACTCCTCAACCTGGAGTTCCACCTGAAGAAGCAGGTGCTGCGGTAGCCGCCGAATCTTCTACTGGTACATGGACAACTGTGTGGACCGATGGGCTTACCAGTCTTGATCGTTACAAAGGACGATGCTATCACATCGAACCTGTTGCTGGGGAAGAAAATCAATATATTGCTTACGTAGCTTATCCCTTAGACCTTTTTGAAGAAGGTTCTGTTACTAACATGTTTACTTCTATTGTCGGTAATGTATTTGGGTTCAAGGCACTGCGTGCTCTACGTCTGGAGGATTTGCGAATCCCAACCGCTTATATTAAAACTTTCCAAGGTCCGCCTCATGGCATCCAAGTTGAGAGAGATAAATTGAACAAGTATGGTCGTCCCCTATTAGGATGTACTATTAAACCTAAATTGGGGTTATCCGCTAAGAATTATGGTAGAGCTGTTTATGAATGTCTTCGTGGGGGACTTGATTTTACCAAAGATGATGAAAATGTTAATTCCCAACCATTTATGCGTTGGAGAGACCGTTTCTTATTTTGTGCTGAAGCGATTTATAAATCACAGGCTGAAACAGGTGAAATCAAAGGGCATTACTTTGTTACCCTATTTATCATGATTATATTGTGTCTAGAGTTACTCTATTTATCCTGATTATATTGTGTCTAGGTTACCCTATTTATCATGATTATATTGTGTCTAGGTTACCCTATTTATCATGATTATATTGTGTCTAAGTTACCCTAATTATCATGTACTCTTGTATCAATTTATTTTTATAAATAGAAGATTATGAGAGGGATCAATTAAGCCCTCTAGAATTATTTATAGTTTAATTCTCAAGTATTAGAAACTAAAGCAAACATACATAGCAGGAGTACAATTTGTGGATTCATTCATTTAATTGAAATGTGTGAATGATAATCAAACAACTACTAAAGAAGTGACAAAGTAATACCAAATAGTATGTAATCATATATGCTGAAATCTTGTGTTTTTGGAATTTGACAATGTAAAATTAAAATTTAAAATTAAGAGACAGAAGGAACAACATACTCGCTAATTGCAGCACAGAATATTACAGCTGAAACTCCTTCAAACAAATGGATCCACTTTCTCCTCTCATTTCTCTGGCCACCAACATCAAAGAGTCTATAGACTTCACCGCTTTTCTTATTTTCCCCAACAGGGCTATCAAAATAGCAAAGATATATTAACTAATGTTATTGAGTAATTTTACACTGTACAGCATATTATGTTAAGGAAATATAAAAAAGTTACTGAATATCAAGTGCATATGTCAGTCACCAAGCACACTAAGACAAGCATAACAAAGATCATTTGAAAAACAAAAACAAAAGATACAATGCAACCAGATTTTGATCATTTTTAATCATTTAGATGATATGAGAAGGTGGATATGGATATCATGTTGTCTGGACAAGAACAGAAAATAACATACAACCATGAGCTAGCCAATTATAGCAAAATGTAAGAACAATGCACTAACTGTCAAAATAACTATAGGTTTAGGATAACAAAAGAAAGGAGAATTAGGCAGCTCAAAGTATAGATTGAAAATTGATGGCTTATATAATTTTAAGTATTACTTGAGGGCCATCATTCTAACAATGTCCAAGTAATAATAGTATTCAGCAAATGCTGAACTCTTATGTAGTTTTTTATGACCTCTTTGGAGAATATTGTGAAACTTACATGGAAAGAGTGCAAAAATAAAAAGTCATTTACCACTAAGTGGGATAAGTTAAAATGATCAAACTTTGCAATTGTGTTGAACAAGTAGGTACAAAAGTCATTTAGATCTAAGTCTGTCTTAATGGTTTCACTAAAACCTTTTATTGGTTTTCTTCTACCTCTACATATTATCCCCGCCATTTGATAAATTCTTCTTACATTGCTTCTATTTGTCTTCTTCTCACAAGACCAAATCATCATATAGAAGATTCTACCATCTTATCCTTAATAGGTGCTACCATACTTTCCCTGATGCATTTGTTATCCGTTTAAATATAGAGAAATTACATTGCTACAAATTAATGCAGGCGATATATCTTCATTCTTCATCAAAAAGCACCACCAAGTATAGTAAGAAGTATCAAGCCAAACAGCATGTTTACCTGAACTGGATCTCTACAACCCCAGTGGTACGCACTCTAGCATACAAAACATCCTCCTGCAGTTGTAAAAGAGTGCGAAATTACAATAAAAATTATGAATGTACAAAATTTTGGTGAACTTCTTCTGAGATAGATCCTCTATTTTTGCAGAATAGTATGGCAACTATATACCAACAAGAAGCAAAGTAGAACATAAGTTATTTAAGTACAAAATTAAGTTAAGGAAACAAGGCCGGTCAGAACAGGACTACATACCACTAGTTGTTTTTCAGATCAAGAATGACACCATATTACTTGATCTTTTACAAATTTGAAGCAAATCTTCTTTTTTTCAAACCCATTTTAAATAAAATTTTATCAGTAATAAAATAGATGCATCTGTAAGTCGGACCTCTTAAATCTAACTCCAATAAAGTAAGAAGAGAAATAAAAATAATTTGGGCCTTCAAACCCAAAACATCTAGAAAATAAAAACTACTAAACCAACCAAGAAATAGATCAGATCTGTAATGTACCAAGGCAGATAAAAATAAAATTATGAATTAGATTTAAAATCTATGTAAAAGTATGATAGATTTTGGCTACCTTTGTTGGAACATAATTTGCATCAGACAGTCTCTCCAAATTTTCCATGAAATAATCAGTACAATCTGGAATTTGAAGCTCACTACCACGGGCATATGTTTCCTACAGAAAGTAAAATATGTGATCCATAAAATAATTAGATTATGCCAAAAAAACAACTATATAGCAAGAATTAAGTAAAAGAAACCAAAGTATGACATCTAGCAACCTGAATTGCAGGATCCTTCCACAGATTTTCAATTTCCTGTGCAAGTTCCTTGGTGAGATATGGGTAATCCAGCCTTCCTCCAATATCTGATAACTTTTCCCCAATTTCCTGACAGAAAAATTAAGAAAGAATCATTTGGATTTAGACAAAAATCCTGTCACAGATCACTATCCAAAAGATGAAGCTGTCGGATGAAGACTGGTGAATGGTTTTATATTACTAACATGCCTCTTCATGCAATACCCATTTGGGCTTGAAGTATGGATGATGCACAGGTCCATCTACCTTGTGCCAAAATTTCAGCCTTTTATCAAAAGAATGGAGATGACTAAGATAAAACTCTAAACTTGTAGACACTTTGATATCTCAATTATTCCATAAACTTTAGTTATGGCCTAAAGACCTATGAATTGTTTTATATTATACTTCTAATAAAT